GGGGGGGGGGGGGGGGGGGGGGGGGGGGGGGGGGGTCGAGCGTCTTCGCCAAGACGCTTGAGGTGTTGGCTCCTCTTTCTCCCACACTCTCTCTTTCTTTCTCGGTCACACTCTTTCTGCGCAGTGGCAGTAATGCTGCGGTAAGAGGAGAGCAAGTGTGTTCGTTCGGGGCTGGATTGCAGGGCATATGATTGGTTGAGAGTGGGATTGGGGAGTGGATCTCTGAGGGAGGTGGACAAAAAGAAGAGAGACACATGGCTGACGTGGGGGGTTCCCGTGGCGGGTTCCCGTGGCGCATGATTTTAGGGAAGGAGGAGGGGCGGCGGGAGAGAGGGAACAAGGCCCAGCAGCAGTACAGCAGCAACCTAGCACCAGCAATAGGTCATAGAACAACAGCGACGAACAGCCGCAGGTAGGTTGCAGGCCAGGTATGCAGTGCAGGGCATGATGAAGGGTCCCCCTCCCTCCCTCCCTCCCAGGAGGTCTGGCCATCCAGCAGCTCAGTAGGAGCAGGTAGGAGGGTCAAGGAAGAGGAAGAGGGTGCGACAGTCTGCAGGCTAGGGATGTCGATGGTGGGGACTGGATAAAGTGGGGAGTGGAGGCGGACAAAAAAGAGTGGTCGTGTGTGTGTATGAGGGTGAGAGGGTGGTGGTTGTGGTGGGAGAGGTGGTGAGGGCGGGTAAGAGAAACAGTACCACGTCATAATAGGACGTAGAGGGAAAGTCAAAGGAAAACTGACGGGGGGTGATCTTCACAAAGAAAAAAGGACAGAAAGAAAGGAAGACATACCCTCCTATCGTCGATACTGGTCTTTCGCGGATGGCGCTTGACATAGTTGAACTCATGGTTGAAGTGATGAGGCGGCTCGGGAACAGACTGAGGCACAAATTGATGGGAATCTGACATTTGGTGGTCGCTCTGAGGCTGACTCTGGCCATTCTGCTGCTGCATGCGCGACTTAATAGGAATACCGTGTGCTGGCTTCTGGAAAGCGGGCTTGCCGTTGGTGGTGGTGGTAGTGGTGGTGGTGGTGGTGGTGGAGGAGGAGTTGCTGTCGGTCGGGGGAGGTGGCGGCGACATGGTGATGCCGGAGGGGGTGGCAGCGTTCTCGGAGAAGATGAAGTCATCAATGTTCATGGGCTCCGATTTTGAGCTGCTGTTGTTCTGGGCAGCATGTTCCGATGATTTTCGCAGCTGAGCGATACCGCTGGGCGTATTCTGCATAGCCGAGCGAGTAATGACTGGTCTGTTTTTCAAATGGTCAGCAAAGACGAGATGTCATGGCAAGCCCACACCCACACCCACACCGTCAACCCAACTTTTTTTTCATTTATATTTTGCTACGTAGTGAATGCGGTGTATAGAGTAGAGAGAAGTGGAGGAGAGGCATTGCGAATAAGGTAAGAGAGAAGGGTAGGAAGAGAGAGAGGGAGTGAGAGAGAGAGAGAGTGTGTGAGAGAGTGAGAGAATACATACTTCTTCTGCACCTGCTGCCTTTGTTTGCGCATTCCCATTGCCATCATGCGCCACGACAGATTCTCCATGCGGCCCTGGTGTGGCAGCTGCTGTTTTGTGCGGACAAAGAACTTCCAGACCTGAGTCGCGAGGGATTCGTCATGGTCGTGGTGGCCGGCATCGCTGTGGTCGGCATCGTCATCGTTGGCATGCCGAAGCATGGGAAACAGTGCGGGCCCTAGCAGCTTGCTGGCTGTGATGTCGTTGCTATTGCTGCTGCTGCTGCTGTTGTTGTGGTTGTCGTTGTGGTGGTTGTGGTTGTTGGTCATGAAGGCATCGACTGGCTGGTGGGCGGCCGTCATTGCAGTGCCGCCCAGATGGATGTCGTGTCCGTCTTGGTCATCGTGGTCGTCGCGGAGATGGCGCAGGCTGTCGAGGAAACCCTCGCGGTCCTCGAGTACAAGCTGGTCGGACGGACTCGGGTGACCCCTCGGGAAGCCAAGGTCGTGATCGGTCGATGTAGTCACCTCCATTGTGCTCCTCTTCTTCTCTTCTCTTTGGTTCCTGTTGCTGCTGCTGTTTTCTCGGTGGCAGCGCGGCAGGCGGCCCAAATGGTTCTTGTTGCGTCTTCTCGTTCCCCCCCCCAGCGTCAGCAATTTTGTGTGCGTAGGTAGTAATTCGTTTGGTCGGGCAGAGGGAGAGCGTGTATGAGAAATAAAGGTATAATCTTTGGAGGAGAAGAAAGAATAATAGAGGTTTGGTGTGAAGGGAAGAAGAAAATCAGGTGGGTGGTGGTGATGTTTGCGAAAGCGGCGGCCAAAAAAAGAGTAATACGAGTAAGAGGGAGGAATGAATAGAGAAACAAATTACTCGTCTGCCTCTTCCCCCCACGTTCGGTTGGATACGGGTGGAGGAGGGTACGAGTACGTCGCTAGTAATAGTAGCAGCAGCAGGAAGAGGAGAGGAGGTCAGAGTCAACCAACAGGCAACTTCGGGGAACTGCGACAGACCTGGAGGGCAAAATGCGGGACTCTTGTTTAACTGCGACGGATGCTCACTGGAGAAATGGGGCGAAGGGTCAGAAAGGCAGAGGCAGAGGCAGAGGCAGAGGCAGAGACAGCTTTCTCGGCCGTAGCCGGGGGAGGAGGGGACCACATTGAGAAAAGGACCCAGAACCCAGGCAGTTTTCCAGTGCATGTTTGCGGGTCTGAGTAGTATCCATGGACATTCTGGTGGTGCTGACGCTGGGGAGGGGGGGGGGGGGGG